TGGCGTCACCGCTTTGTTTTGTAATGATCTTATAAAAACAAGAAATAAGACCATCAATAAGCACGAAAAAGTGAAAAATGAAGTGTCTTCTTTTGGCAAAATATTAATTCAATCGTTGGTTGCAATAATCTCAATGAATGTAGTGTCCTAATATTGTACTGAAAGGTCCACTGATTTTTTTTAAATTAATTTATTTACATTCTTCACGATCTGATAGTGTTATAAATGACATATATACAAAATTGTGAGGCATTCCAATGTTTTAGGTTTACAAGGTATACTTGAAAATGATAATGTAGCCTGTAATGTAAGTAATAAATTAGGTTTAATATTTTCAAATACTAACATTATTGACAGTTCGCAAAATTGGTCTATACTACTGTTTAAAGAATGATTTGCTACACGTAGGCTACACCCATTGCTTAACAATGGGCTGAAAGCTTCAAATGTGCTTTCTTTGTTTTTGTAGGTAGCTTTGGTCAGTAGGATAAGAATGCTTTGATCATGGACCTATTATTGATCTTTAGTTTATTCAAGCCTATGTCACCTACTAGGGGTAATGTTTTGATTGGTCAATCACTTTTGGTACTTGTGCATATAAGCTTGCAAATACGGATAATTGTTCATTCCTGATGATGACATAATTAATGTCAAAATATTGAATCCCGACACGATGACGTGCACTTCGATACTTGGAGTATGTAGGCTATTATACTTTCTTAATATTGTACTGTTGTTAAAAAATAAAATAGAATTTGTCAAACACTTTTAAGGTTTTCTTGCTGCCAGCAGGGAGTTTCGCCCATAGTATCTTAAAATTTCACCTTACAAAGATCCATAAAGTATAACAAGTTATTATCTTTGGCCTGTGAGATCAACTCTAAAAATAATGTGCCCTTTAAATTTCTGTGATTCTATTAATAGTTCAGATAAAATTAAGTACTGTAAATGGTACCGGTCATTTTTCCAACCATCGTAACTATTTTCAACACAATATTAGATACACTGGTCCTATACTCTGGAATAATTTACCACTCCTAATTTTAAACTCAGTATCCGTAAGGTCCTTTACCAAAAAACTTAGGAATCGCCTTGTTTCGCATATAATTTTTTGCTGCTACTTGAAACTGTCTGTTCTGTTGTCTTGCTTGTGCGCGTTTGTGCTGTGTGTTTGTTTTGTTTTTCTGGATTTCCAGTGTCCAGGGGCCGGATTTATCAAACTAGAAATCTGCTTAAATTCGTCCATTTTTTTGCTTAAGTCAGATTTATTAATATTGTTTTAGCTTAAACATTGCTTTAAATTAAAATGTCGACTGTACGCATGCGCCACCTAAGACGATTTTAAGCTAAGATTTGGCTATCCTTTAAAGACGGTTTGTTAAATCATGGAGGAAATTTCCTCCATGGTTAAATCAGCTTAGGATATTTGCTTTAGGGACATCTTAAGACATTTGCTGAGCTGAGATTGATAAATCCCGGGCCAGGTCTGCCCACCACAAAATTCTTTTCAAATCTTCTCATGCAGCGCCTTCTTCCTTTTGATTTTTTTCCTCATACACCAATTTTTGGTCTTTTCTGTATGTTTGCAATTGGAAGTTAATAAATGTCTTGAAACCAGGAATATAAGTACACATTACCATTATTTACTATGCACACTTTTGTATCCTTCGAGTTTGACACTTTGCCAGCAGAATATTGAGGGTGGAAATATTTGGTGTTCTCTAGGATGTACCTTGCAAGGAGCTACTAACATTTTCTTATGAATAAATATCTAAAAAATTACCACTTAAAAATTATACCATATCATCAACCTTTATTTCACAAAATACCTGCTAACATACAATACAACTGCACTGTCTCAATGATGGCTTATTTAAATAAATTGCAATGACCTGTATAACATTTTAAAATAATATATAACATAAATCTATATATATATATATATATATATATATAGAGAGAGAGAGAGAGAGAGAGACTGAGGGGAAAATAAAACATACTTGTCTGCATATAAATTTGATGCTAATCATGCTGCTTAAAGATAATAATAAATAATTGGTTGCACCTTTATCATCACAATGTATAGTATAATACAGTAATTCATATATAAGAAAATCATATATAAAGAGAAAAAATATATAATTAAGACTTGTTTTCATAAAATCGTTACATGCTATCACCAACAGCCTTTGATGATTGGAGTTAAACACTGACTGGTTGGTCAAATCATGAGCTTTCCAAAATGCGTTGGGGTCAGTTATGCAGTGTAATGATTGGAGTAAGACGCTGATTGGTTGGTCAAATCATGAGCCTTCCCAAATGCGTTGCGGTCAGCTTACGCAATGTATTGACTGGAGTAAGACGCTGACTGGTTGGTCACATCGTGAGCTTTCACAAACAAGTCATGGTCAGCATATGCAGTATAATGATTGTAGTAAGATGCTGACTGGTTGGTCAAATTGTGAGCCTTCATACACAGTGTAATGATTGGAGTGAAAACGCTGTCGTGATAATGTGGTGATTTTATGGAAAGCAAGTTTTACTGACTCGCCACATAACCTGACAAGCAAAAATAATGATGATTTTTGGATAACTGTTTAGTTTAGCCACCAGCAGACAACATCAAGTTGGACAAATCTATTCATTTACTAGTGTTTCCAATGTCTATCAATGGCAAAGATGTAAATTAGTTGTAAGATATATAGGTGTAATTTTTCCCTACCTGACGTGGGAATGTAGTAAATACTCAGTACGTTTGAAAACAATTGCGAGGACAACTTGCGATTTTTTTCGCAATTGTTTTCAAACGTACTGAATATTCAGTACATTTCCACGTCAGGTAGGGCAAAATTACACTTATGCATGTTTCTCCTGACGCAAATTCAGTTATTGTCTATTCCATCACGACAATAACAATTACTAGTTGCAAGATACTATACTATATACTATACTATGGTATTTTATACTGTTGAACTTATATATTGAAACATATGTGAACATTTGTAATGTATTAGGTTGTGTAAGTAGCATGCCAAATGGCAAGTACACTTATGTGGTATATACATACATAACAATATGTGTACTTATGTGGTATATACATACATAACAATATGAATGTATTGATTTTCACTCAAAAATGTGTGTTGACAACAAAATCATCTATAGCAAGTTCCCAGCTTGTATACAGTATATTCATACACCTCCATCAATGTCAAAGTGCTTGAAAATTACTTCTGCAACACATGATCACTTTGATCAATTACAAAATACAATGTATTAGGCCATTACTTGTGCAAGATGATCACTTTGATCAATTACAAAATACAATGTATTAAGCCAGACTTTTGTATACCTTGTTTAGCAAACCTGCCACTGCTTACATTCACCAATAAAATTTCATTTTATTTTCTCCTCATTCAGGAGGTTTCTGGCAAAGCTATTTGCTAAATAAGAAAACGAAATTATATTTTTTTCCCCACCCACGTCTGATGATGCTTTTGAAATTTGGCAATAAAAGTGAAATGAATGAATGATCTTTAAAAAACTAAGTTCGCGAAACAAGGTATACAAAAATTCTCGCCTTAAGTTAAATGAAACTAAAGTAATTAAATGAAACATACATTTTATAAACAAAGACAATACAATACCTGGGACCATCAAAAGTTTGAAAACTCAATCGTTGCCATTAGAATCTGTTAGAAACCTTGGTGTGATTCTTGATCAACATCTAACTTTTAAAGATAATGTTAGCTCAGTTTGCAAATCTGCTAATTTCTACATCCATAACATACGTAAGATTAGAAGATTTCTTGATTTAAAATCTACTGAAATACTTGTGCATGCTTTAATTTCATCTAGGCTTGATTTTTGTAACTCTCTACTTTTTGGAATCTCTGAAGATGGCGCTGAAATATGACCACTGTCTCTTATACACATCTTAAGTACACATTACCATTATTTACTATGCACACTTTTGTATCCTTCGAGTTTGACACTTTGCCAGCAGAATATTGATGGTGGAAATATTTGGTGTTCTCTAGGATGTACCTTGCAAGGAGCTACTAACATTTTCTTATGAATAAATATCTAAAAAATTACCACTTAAAAATTATACCATATCATCAACCTTTATTTCACAAAATACCTGCTAACATACAATACAACTGCACTGTCTCAATGATGGCTTATTTAAATAAATTGCAATGACCTGTATAACATTTTAAAATAATATATAACATAAATCTATATATATATATATATATATATATATAGAGAGAGAGAGAGAGAGAGAGACTGAGGGGAAAATAAAACATACTTGTCTGCATATAAATTTGATGCTAATCATGCTGCTTAAAGATAATAATAAATAATTGGTTGCACCTTTATCATCACAAAGATTAGAAGATTTCTTGATTTGAAATCTACTGAAATACTTGTGCATGCTTTAATTTCATCTAGGCTTGATTTTTGTAACTCTCTACTTTTTGGAATCTCTGAAGGACTCGTTAAACGTATCCAGCGCACCCAGAACACTGCTGCTAGGATATGCAGATGGGCGCTGAAATATGACCACGCTTCTCCCCTACTTCATAAACTTCACTGGTTGCTGATCAAGCAATGAATTGTTTTTAAATTGTTAGTTCTCACCTACAAAGCGATATGTTCTAGTCATCCATCCTACTTAAATGCCCTGCTTACTAAGTATACCCCATCTCGCCGTCTCCGTTCATCTTCTCGAAATCTCCTTTCTGTTCCCAAATACAGTATTCTACCAAAACATATGGTCAATGCTCATTCTCCTTTGCCTCTTTGGAACCAGCTTCCTATTAATATAACTACTTCTTCTATCTCTGCAACTTTAAATCGCAAATTAAGACCGTATTGTTCTCCGAGGGTATCACACTTGCATAGTGCGCCTTTGATCTTTTTTGGAATTGGCGCCTTATAAATTCCTGATATTATTATTATTATTATACATGGTTTGAGCCTTACATGCACAATGGACTGACCAAGCAGTATTTTATTCAATTAATAATTCAATCAATCAATCAATTAATCAATCAAATTCATCATTGCAGTGCAGTTAGATTTGTTAAATTGAAAAAAATGTCCTATGAAGTTATTAATCAAGTCTTAATTATTATTTCTTATAAATTAACACTGTAACAGAGCAGGAAAACAATCATGACATAAATATATAGATTAACAAATAATACAAACATTTAGTGCAAGAATAAGGTGAATTAAACATAAAGAGAAAGAATATAAATATATTTTTGACTAATAATTAATCTATTGTATATCATACTTACAGAGATTTAATAGAACATTAATACCAGCATAATGTTACATACATATATAGCTATTTACAATTAAGTTAAAGTGAGCATATACCTACAGTACTAGTGTATCCACATGCTGTTATTGCAACAGTAAAATATGGTGATTAAGTTGTGTTACTGACTAAAACACTGTAGCTACAAAGGTTATGGGAATGTCACATTTCAATATATAAATAACTTCCAAATATTTGTATTTATGAATATAATATTCATAATTATGTTATGTTTATTACAGTACTTCTGTCAAATTACAACATGGTGTACTGTAAAGGTAATAGTTTTATATTTAGCAATAATGTTATATTGTCATCACTAGATATCTGCCCACCATATTTCAAATCAATACCATGTTATAAAGCTTGATCACTTTCACAAATCACTGTCATAATCACATTTCACACCATTTCAACATGTCATCTATACAACAATTCATCATGTTACCTCTACGTTTAATCATGTCATATAAAATAAATGCCAAAAATACATTAATAAAGTAATGCTGTATTTAAAAAACCAAAAATATGTGTAACTCAAAATACAAAAACATCAATATAAGCACCAGAGCACATAATAACCATTTCTAACACGTTTTCATTGGTCCCTTAAAAAAATATACCTAACATTACATGAAAGATATAATGAATGAGGTCAACAGTGTATGCATAAGACCTGTATGTTAAATCCATATAATATGGACAATGAAAACAGTATTTAAAAAAATATTAGACAAGCCATAGCACTGTCATGTGATTGTATAGTCCAAACATATTAGGGCAAACATGTGAAAACCATGTAGTAAAAATATGAATAGCAGGAAGACATACTACATATCATAACTGCTGAAAAAGTAAAATATTAAGTGAATGGCTAGAGGGGTAGACGTATCAAACTGGATGACAATCACATTGCTCATTACACATGAATATAAAAACACAAAACCTAAACTTTCAATAAATATATTAGATTTATAATAAAGTATATCATATTAAATAAAGAACAGTATTAAAAACTGTTTACAAAAAGGTTGGTAGTTCCATAACTAACCCCCATGAATTGCACTACACTTGACATCATCTATGTCCACCTCATCATGACACTATCCATGATCATCATGACATCTTCATTAACATCAACCACACATTCACTTTTATATTAATGTTGTCTTAACTTAACATCTACACCAATGCAATCAAATGACATCATCTACAGTACATCAATGATGATCGCATGACAACATATAAATCAAAATTGATCACATGACACACACTGATGTTGAATACATGACAATGTCTATATCAATGTTGATCACTTGTCTAAATCAAATGATAACATCTATAACAAGTCTCCATCAATGTTTCTGACACGACAACACCTATATCGATGTTAGCAGCAACACCAATATTGATCATATGACAAAATTTGTATCAAAGTTCTAGGCTTAAGCAAGCCAAATGTTTAGCAATATTGCCAACTTGTATTAAAAAAAATATATCCATGATAGCTTTAATTAGCCTTTTGGTGAATTTGAATTAAAATATTTAGGCAAATTCAACTTTGACTGGGATTTGGCTAACCACAGCTTAAACCGTGGACATTGAACACATGACAACATCTATATTGATGTCATTTTAACCACCACTGCACACTGCCTCATAATTATATAAAAAAAATACAATTTCCTTGAATAATAAATGTTTAACAGGATTGTTCTTGCACTATTAAACAGTGCTATTAAGTAGCAAGACTTACCATTTTATGCAAAATGTAGTACTATAATCTAATGTTGAGGATATACTATGTTCATAAGTAAAGTTACTAAGAATGTTACAATTAAATTTAAACACTGAACTTGAAACTCTCTTGGTCTGAATGAATCACAGATCCTCCCAATGAGACAAAATTTTATCTATTTCTTTCACATACCTATTAAACATTACAAACACAACTATGTATTATATGTGCAATTAAGTTTCACAAAGAAATATCCCCAAAACATATAAAATATTGAGAAGGAAAGTGTCTAAATTACAAGTAACTTTTTAAAAAATGGTAGTTGCAAAATTCCTTTTAGCACTAATGTGGAAAGCAAAATGTTGATTGAAACATGGAAAATTCTTAATGTACTTACAATAGAAACAAATCACAATTGACATCATGGTTAATTGGTCATAAAAGTTGGTGAATATAAAAAACACAAAGATGGAATCAAGGCAATGAGGATAATAAAGCATTATGAAAACATTGTTCAAGTTACATACTTTCAATTAGATAATATCAATTGAAAGTTTCACCTTATAAAAATATGTTGAACAAAAGTGGGATAACATTTTTCAAAGTATTTTGAAAGTCTGACAATTAGAATGGCTATTAAGATTCCTAAAACATTTCATTGCACATCAAAAGCTTGTAAACCAACTTGACAGAATTCTTAAGTGACAGTGTTGAGATTTTGGATGCTGTATGTTTATAAATTTTAATGCAAACCAAAGATTAACAGGCCGTATCCAAGAGAATGTGTATAAGCTCCCTATTCCTTCTCTGAATTTTCAAACCAGAGAACATAATTTTTCTTTGACTTAATTTCAAGAATGGTAGCCAGTTGAAATAGGCAAAATTAGGTCAAATACAGACTTTCAAATACAGTTTATCCCTCCTATCCCCACCTCATAACACTTCACCCTTCAAATATAATTATTTTATTGCTTCGATTCCAGACTGTCACATTACTAAACCTGCTAATGATAGAGCTGGTTTAATCTAAAACAACAATTGTAATAATGAGCAGTTTTGTTAAAAAAATAACCTTGTGCTAAATGCTGATTGCTATCAATCATTGCAGCAATTAATGTACTGTATGTGAAAATCTGAAATGGGATGTGAATGTTTTGAAGGCAGCTTTACTTCTGCATATTGAGAATATTCAAAATCAAATCAAAATCAATTTTACAAATTCAATGATTGAAGTGTCATGACATGGTTATTGTTTGGTATGGTGATACCAAGCAAACCAATAAGAACGATATAAATTAAATAATTAGGACCCGCTCTCTGAATCAATCAGCTATCTATCAACTTAATACACATTAATGGAATAGTATAGAAGGCACTCACTATTATGCGTTCCCATCTACTAACAGGTTGCTTACCTCTTGTGTAAATGGTCAATGTTACCAATCACTTACAGAAAAAACAAATCCCCCCAAACGCTTGCTTATAAAATCTCCACACCCTGTCTGGAAAATCTTGCCACCACTACTAGATGTTGAAGCATCATGATCGCTGATTTGAATGTGTATTACTTTCTGTCACCTGCGAGGAACCTGTGTCATTCTGCAAAATAAAATTAAAACTCAACAATCTTCACAAACTTATATTCAGATAGTAACAGTATTCAAATGTTGATGAACAATAAACATAAGTCTCAGAACTAAAATACTTAAACATACCACTGAATAACAAGGAGGGGGACGGCGATATTCGTAATTCCAGACATAAGAGTACATAGGTGTGTAAAATGTCATTCCTAGTGTATCACCTGGCTCGTCATCACGGATGTCTACTGAACCAAATACACACTCAGCATAACTTGGAGGTGCTATATAAAACCACAAAGCAAATATTATGTCATTATATTATAGGGAAATAACAAATTTCAAATGATGATGAAAATGATGACAAAAAAATAATATAGCATATTATTTATAGAAATAAGGTGCAACACACTAAGAATATTATACAGTAATGAAGCAAAAAACAGAGAAATACAAGTAAAGTACCATTGTAAAGATCATTGAATCAGAATTATTTTGAAACAGCGCCACCAACTTCTCACAACTCACTGGGAAACTTCCAGTGGCCTAGCCTGAACAGCTGGCTAGTTACAAATAGAGCACCGCAGAGCGCATTGCGCCACTAGACCTTTGCTATAGCAGCAGTAGACAACACATTCGATCATGCTAATTACTGTATATTTAAACATGTAAAAAGCATTTAAAGACTTAAGACTTGTTTTCAATATAAACATTTCGTTCTTTTTTCATTTTAAAATATTCGTGTTCATTAGTAATTTAGTTTTATCCCTTAATTATTCCATGATGGTAACTAAGTAGAGTGAAATGCTAGGCCTCTAGAAGTCCCCCAGTAGTGGTTGCCAGTTTATCGGAAATTTTTCATTTCAAAATAGCTGGCAGGCGGTGTCCAAACCAAGGGGCCTGGAATAAAATTTCTGGTGGGTTCATGGAATGAGATTTTGTAGATTAGGAAGGCACAAAATTGCACTTTTAGAACAAAATATTAAAGAATGGCAATCACAATAACTTTGTTTGGATTTGGGCAATAGTGACATGCCATTGGACAAAGGTGGGAAGGAGGTTGCAATTTTCCTCCTGAACATAGTCACCTTTTCCTGGTAAGGCAAACTTTCCCGGCATGCTTTTTTCATGGATAAACAAACACCACTGCTTTGCCACATGGATGCCTTGCCCAAGCCAGGGCTACAAGAGCTGCATTGTTAGCATTGTATAATACTTAAATAAGGTACCTCTGAAAATGAATTATTCTTAGTTAGTTATTTTTTTCTTATTTTAATTTATTTCTTCCGAAAGTGTACTTTCTATCACATATAATTTCACTGTCTTAGCTAGGCCTAGTCTTATGCCTCATCGTCCCCCGCTACACAGTACATCAGCACCCCTTCCCCATACAGTACAGACGTTTTCTAGGTAACAACGTGATTGCACCTTCCTTCCCAGGTGTTCATGTAACATTGACATAATTGTTAGCTAACCAGTTGTGTGTATTTCTTTGTGAAAATGAGTACCGCGGCGTACTCATTTTCACAAAGCATTCATCCCCTCTTGGAAAGAGGGATTCGAAATAATTGTCTCCATATCTTCGCTAATTAAATTAATCACCGTAATTTAGCTTACACTTATGAATTTAGGGAGCACTTAAAATGTGAAATAATCATTTCACTACCCAACAAACTCCGAACTTTATTCATTCATTAGGCCTACATAATAGTTTCATATTGCTGTACTATATACTCCAACATCACTGGCACATGGTAACAACCAACTGAATGCAGACCATTTCCGGTCACACATTACTCTCCACAACACAGCAACCCCTAGTTCCGTCACCTCTGGGTCTAGAATTAGATAACACCCTTTCTGCAGACAGTATTGTTAACAGTATTGTAACAAAAGTCAACGACGCCAAGTTAAAATGTTTATATAGGTAAGCAAAGGTTAAGAAAATGATTTGTTCTGCCCTCATGCTTTGCAAATTGTATATTTGATTATTCTGTATCATCGTGGTATTGTGGAATTTCATAAGCGGAAAAAGCTACAGATAGCGCAAAATAAAACTATTAATTCATTTTAAATAAAGGTCTTAGATACCACATTAATGCCCTCAATATTCAATTACTGTAAAGCCCTTTATTTTCGTTGCTGTTATTTAGCGATTTTGCAATTCAAAATATTTCGCGGCCTTTTATTTGTGCGATTTTACAATTTTTAATCATTTTTTAAACATGATGCAGAAACCTACAATTGTGTTTTTTAGCCTATATTTTAGCTAGAGTTTCTGATTTTGGTGGGTTTCCCCTGATTTTCCAAGCAATCACCTATCACTCTGATTTTTAGGCTAGGCCTTGCTACCATAGGCAGGCCTACTGCAGCTAGTCCAGGGCAGTAAGTTGTTGACCCTAACACCCTCCTTTGTCATCGTAAACATGTGCCCTCAATCCGACGACACTTGCGTTGGTAGTTCATTATTCTGGTTAGGTTTATAACATTAATATAGTGATTATTATACCATAAATGGAAGAAAAGATCAAACTATTAATAAATAAATACAACAAACTTGATTTTATTAAGAAATATATACTTTATCGCTTGCTTTGTAAAACGTGCGCAATCAGATTTTTTTTACAGTAATAAATGGTTGATGGTGATGTCACCAGGGGCAAAGACCATTCGTAAAATCAACTATTCGTAAAATGGATGTTTTAATACTGTAATCATTAAAATATATCATTTTCATTTAAACTAATTACATTGACATAGATTTAAAATAATTGCAAGAAAATGATACAACTTACCTTCTTGAGCACAGACATTACGGAATGTGGCAGGATTGAATCCCATTCCATTTGATTCCGTAGCCATACTAAAGTTGAAGCTATCTACAGCCAATGGATCAATCGGTGAGTATGGTGGCGCTCTTAATGGCACGGTGCCAATAACTATAGGAAGGTTTATGTACAAGTTGGTCGCACCAGTTATATCTAGACAAATCTGCATTAAATCCCAAAAGTAGTGATTTAGGAATATAATAAAATTAATAAATTTATTCTTATATAGCGCAAAATGCAAGAAACCTCTAAGCGCTTTACAATGAAAGGAAAACCCGGATCAAAATAAAAGAAAAATGATTACAACAGTGAGGGAAATCAGGTTAACATTATGAATGAATATTTATTTATTTATTTTAATATATTTTATTTTTTAATTTATTTATTTTTTATTTATTTATTATTTTATTTTTCCTTCCAATTACCTTCTCATTCCATTTGGTTACTTTCCAATTTATTATTGATTTCTTATACATTCAACTATTTCACAGTTTAAATTTTTCCTTATGTGTTTGGCTTGTCATGTCTATCCTTTCCTCACAGCCCTTGCCTGTATTTCCCAATCCCCATTTCCTTTCCTTTTCTTATGTTCACATAACTTTCCTTCATTTTTCAATTCTGATGTTACCTTATTTTTACCTTTCCTTTTCCTTTCTTATTTTCCTTATCATTTCTTTCCTTTTCCATTTTTGTGTTTCCTTATCTTTTCTTTCCTTTTCCTTTATTTTGTTTCCTTATCATTTCTTTCCTTTTCCTTCTTATGTTTCCTTATCTTTCTTTTCTTTTTCCTTTCTTATATTTCCATATCAATTCTTTAATGGATCCTTATCATTTCTTTCCTTTTCCTTCTTATGTTTCCTTATCATTTTTTTCTTTTTCCTTTCTTATATTTCCGTATTTCTTATGTTTCCTTATCATTTCTTTCGTTTTACTCTCTTATGTTTCCTTATCCTTTCTTTCCTTTTCTTTCTTATGTTTCCTTATCTTTTCTTTCCTTTTTCTTTCTTGTCGTAACACTGGCAAAGGTCAGCACTTCAAAAGGTCATAGCATTCCAATTGACAAAGGAAGTATAATAAGCTTTCGATTTTTGTGACGACGCGATGCTAGAACGGAATCGCTCATGTGTGACCGTCCTACCTGGCGTCCTACGTTCTCTGTATACGTAGATTTGGCCAAATTGCGTTCCAGAATCTACTCGCAAGGTGACCTAAAGTTCTCGCATACGCAGATGACTTTTACTGATGTCATTATGTTCTACGTGCTACTGTCGTCGTGCAATTGAAAGCTTCCTAATATGCCAGTCACACTACAACAAGGTATTTATAGGAAATATGGTTTAATGTGTGTTAGCTATCTACAAAATATTTAAGCAGTATTAAATAATGGTTGAATTCAACAGCTATGTTTTTTATTGTTTTCTTCAATATTATCGCTCATTAAGTTAATCAATGAATCATAAAATCAATCATTCACTCCACTGATTCATTAATTTAATTATTCATTCATTCACTTAGTGAATTATTCATTTATTAGAATTTTGTACGGAATACGCTTCACATAAATAAAAGTTTTTTTTGGCTAAACATATGCCCGTAAAATTGAGTGGACGGACGACTACGATGTGACAGAAGGGATTCAGAGGATGATCTAAGGGATCTCTTAGGTGCGTATGGATGGATGAGATCGATTATTAAGTTTGGTGCCATGCTGTGAAGGGCTTTGTATGTCATAAGTAGGATTTTGTATGAAATTCTTTGTCTAATCGGAAGCCAGTGAAGGTTTTCAAGGACAGGAGTAATATGGTGTCGAATTGGAACACGTGAAACCAAACGAGCTGCCATGTTTTGTACACTCTGGATTTTCTTTATTTCGATGGAAGACCATAAAGAAGTGAATTGCAGAATTTATCTAACCTAGAAGAGACAATCGCATGTACAAGAATTTCAGTAGACTTGGTATTAAGGTATTTGCGGATGCTTCCAATCTTCCTAATGGATTGAAGACCAGCTTTGCATACGTTGTCTACGTGGTTAGTCATATCTAGTGCCGAGTCCATGAGTAGAATATATATCGAAATTTTAGATCAGACATCAATCAATCTAAATCAAGTTACTGTATCTATATGTCTTCTTATTGCTAATGATATCTATGAAAATTACTAATTAGAAAATGGTAGAAGAAACTGAATAAATAGTTAATCTTGGGAAATTGTGCAAGTATATTTTGCTATTTTCTACAATATTTGTCTTGTTTCAGTTTATGGTATGGTCATCCATTTTAGTTAAGCCTTCTCTCTCAGCTTAAATGTTTTGTACTGTATGTTTCTTAGCAAAAAGAATAAGAAGAAGAACCTTTTAATCAAAATTGGGAGTGTGTGTGTATGTGTGTGTGCGCGCGTGTTTTGGGGTTTTTTTTCTGTTTCTAACTTTTCTTTAAATAAGAATAGACCGAATGTTATCCACTTTTTGATTTTTTCTTCGTCTAAATGAGAATAGAAATGAATGGATTGTGTGCTGATGAATTTATAAATTATTCTTGATGTAATGTCATAAAGAGTCAATTATTAATTTAGATCAAAAGCATCATATATGTTACTATTACAATGTTATTTTCAGTCATCATATCAAAAGTAAATATCTCTGCCCGCCCTTTCCAAATAGTTGGAGGGCAAAAAATATTTGTAAGGCCTATTATTACTAAATTTAACCTTAATTTCTTCATTAATATAATAGTATTATCCTATATTAGTATTATATAACACTACAATTTTCCTTGTTTTATCCTGACAAAGAGTTACAGAAATCTACAAGCACATGGATATTAAAAGTGTTATTAAAAATTATAAAAGATAAATATTAAAGCATTGTGGTAGATGACATTTTTATTACCCAATAACAAAAGAATAAATAAATAAGGTGTCCACATAAGGTTGTTTTGTTGAAATCATTATTATGAAGGTCAAAGTTCATTCAGCTTTGTTGTACAAGGTACTTAAAAAATGTATTTAGATGCAAGTCAACAGTGGTTTCCATACTTACACTTAGAAAATATTCCAGTTTGATAATGCTACAATTGGTCAATGTTGGCGTTATTGCTGGAATCTTTAACAATTTATTACTCCAACTATCTGAAGAACGCCCTCTAATGGCCTTGCCTTGTATGCAGGCAACAGCACTGCGTACAGACCTCGACTTTCCATCAGCGTAGAACATGGTTCTTTGGTACAGAGTTGCCTTGGGTTTCATTCGTCTTGCTGAACCATTTTCATATTCACCTGATATTGCTATTGATTCACCTGTAAAATAAATCATAAAAATTCACATTGAATTTATTATTATATAATTTGTTTATCATTTTTCTCCTCCAATCCCATCAATCAACTTGATTGGATGTCACTAGAAATTTGAATAATGAAAACTGTTTCAATAAAATGCACTAGAGAACAAATCAAGCACTTTGATCAAACATTTTAATCTGTGTTTAAAACCATCTAACAAAAAGCAATTGTATATCAAAAATATTCATAAATTTAGGGAAGGCTGGGCAAAGCTTTACAGTATTAATATTACACTAGATTTGAACTCGTCACTGAGGACAAGTTAGGTGATCCGCTTGTTTATTTATTTAAAAATACCGTAGCTAGAATTGTCAAACTGTGCAGTTCAATATCAAGTCTGCCGCCCTCTCTCAGGTCATCAAAGAATTAAAGAAAGAAAGAGGTGGGTGAGAAGTCAGAAAAACATTAATTTTTACCATAGTGACATCATCAAAGTCAAAAATAAATGACACATTCCCCTACACCTACAAAACAAAACAGGGGTTTCAGCAAGGACTGTACATTATTGCCATTACCACTAATAATGCACATCGCATGAATGGTGCGGTCGGTTAAGCATGTGTTCTAAAGAATATAAGGTCTTGGGTTCAAATTTTTTCATTTTTTTTTTATTCATGGATTTTATTATTCAATATAAATTTCAATATGAAAAATTCAAGCAAAAAAGTTTAAATTAAGATCATAAAAGCTACAAAATTACCATAAAAAAAATAAATGAGTAAGTGAATAAATAAATAACGGGGTAACAGAAGGCTGTATAATGTATTGTAGACGAATCTAAATTGCACATTATTTACATTGCCCTGGTGGGAGTCATTAAAACAGTACATTAAAAAGAGAAAAAACACGATTACAGGTAAAAACGAGTAAAAAGAAATGTAAACTAAATTGATCACGTCAAAATTAAATCAAATTGAAACATGGATATATCAAAACAGTAGACAGTACATTAAATCAAATTACAGGACAGAAACTCAAATGATCACATCAACACCAAGTCTTATTCCGATATCCCTCAACCAGAGTGGAAATAAAAATTGATTGGATCATTATTGATCAAAATTTACAAATGTATAAATAATGAACATAGTAGTTACTTGTTCAAAAGTTTAACAAAGTAAGGTATCGGGCTTCTTCGGAACCGTTCTGTTTTCGAGCATAAAATAGAGTGATCCTTTGAGTGCCTATAGATATTTAATTTTTTTTTCTTTCCAATTTTAAGAAGGCGAGTCAAATGGTTGAGCGGTTAGCTGGGGCGCCGCAAGCTACAGCCATAATATCGGCGCTGGTTCGAACGGCACACTCGGTTCTGGTGGTAGAACAAGTCTTCTCGGATAAGGACTATAAACCGTAGGTCCAGTGTATACAATGGCTCGTGTGCACTATATAGAACCCAGTACATCCTTCAAGACGAGTAGGGGGATACAGTACCCCGGTATACTGGAACAGACAGCCCCTATGGTGGATGACGAGAGTTGCTGGTACCGGGTTACCGGGTAGCACAGACACGAAGGGGCCCTTAGGGGTGAAGAAAGTCATCGATCGAGTTTCCTAGTCCACTTATCAAGCGCCCTGAGCATCTTATATTCGATGGATACACTATTATTATTATTAAGTTATTTTTGTTCAATTTTATGTATCTTAATTTTTAATTCCAAATAATGTTTTTTTTGTACAAATAAACATTCTATTTATTAAAAAGTCCTATCTTATTAGCTCCTCGAAAAACCAAATATAATATCTTGCGTCTGTACCGTATTTAAGCATGGAGGAACGTGCAGACCATGTGAGCGGTCGCTATTGTTTTGTATTCAGATGGCAATATGACGACATCACAAAGTCCAATCAGCCACAATGATCTATAAAATCATATCTACAACTTATGTGCTTTCAGAATATGTAATAAAAATTGTGGGGGGGGGGGAGGTTACCTTTCATCCTAAAGAGATATAACTGATTTAAATAGGCATGATTTTGAGCATTTAAAAATTTTAATGCACGCGTACGCGCATGTTATGATGTGCACACGGAGAATTAAGGTAGATGACATTCATCATTGACCTGAAGTTTTATGCCCATTGAATATGATTAGAAATGTCAATTGGTTATGATGATATGGGTTCATTAAAGTCTTGAGAAAAGAATGATGAGGGAGGGTCAGAAAAAACATTTATTTTGATCATGATGACATCATCAAAATGTAAAAAAGTCACATTTATGAAAGAGAATTGTCTCAGTTTAACATACTCAAAGTTGGAAGACGATCGATTAAAGATAAGTGAGATACGCTCAAATGAGTATTTTAACAAATGATGTCATAGATAAAAATTCAGTTTTTTAAATTTTAGATGGCAATGTGATGACGTCACAATGTCCGATCAGTCATTATGATCTATAAAATCTATAAAAATGCTTTAAGAATAAGTAATAAAAATTGGGGGTCACCTTCATCCTAAGGAGCTATAACTGATTGAAAATAGGCATGACTTTAGCAAATTTTTAGTGTTTGTCGACCAAAACGTGTACAAGGATTCAAATCTTTGATGCACGCGTACGGCATTGCTATTGGACCTAAGATGACTGAAAAAGAATGGAAATTTGTGAATACAGTGTCAGAAACCCAAAACATGTAAACAAACTAAATTTCCAGCTTCCGTACGCGCTCAGCGTGTAAAAATGCGCGTGCAGTGCGGAAAATTTGAAAAATTTTGAAATGCTCAAAATGGACTGAAACATGCTCTAATTTAGTCAAAAAGTAATTTTGAGCATTTTAAAATTTTGACGCATGCGTGTAAAATTGAGTTACATGACATTCAACTTTGACCTGAAGTTTATGCTCACTAAATATGATTTCGAAATGGCAATTGGTTAGGATGATATATATTATTTTATTCATTCTGGCAAAACAATTAACAATATAAAACATTACAAATACAAAAAATCAGAAAATCACAAACAAAGATAATCAGTATATGATCGATAATGTAAAAATGCAAAATTGTGCGTAGATGACGTCACGCATGACTTGTCACATTGAAAAGCTTATTGTGACTATTCCAGGCCAAGCCAAATGTTCCTTAAAACTGCCATGTGTGTAGCTTGCGGCAATTTTGAGATATCATACGAACAAGAAATGGGGAGAAATGTAGAATAAATAAAAAAAGTCATTTTATTGGCAAGCCCTAAAGCCCTATCAAGAGTATCAATTGAATATGTTTACCTGGACAATAACCCTTTCGATCTGTCTTCACTGACATGCTAATTTGCCCAGCTGCACAAAGTCCGCAACAAACTGTTTTTTCCTTGGTCCCTAAAAGTGGAGTCTGCAATAAAAAAAGGTCACAAATTAGGGTGATTCTACTAATTAACAACATTATGTCATCACATCACTTACAGGATTCTTCAACATTTAGTGCCACAGAAAAAGTCTCTCTTATTATTACTATTATTATTAAACATTGATATACTGTTTTTGATCATGGTGTAGTTAGTCAAGATAATAAAAATGACAGAAATTCAAATGAAACAATAATTAAACTACATTACAGTAAATATTTACTCACTGAAGTACTACTGTAATAGATACACTAAACTGGATTCCAATGATATAAGCCTGTCTTCGTGTTTATAATAAGCTTATCATTTGTTAACATCGTATGACACTTGTCACTGGCACCACTCCTCTGATATATACATTGAAGCCACGGCCTTAAATATTTACGATTTTGCTAATCTATTTATTTTGTGACCTTTTATATTTGCAAGCAAGGAAATTAATTTCACGATCAGATAATTTTCCTTGCCTATGTGTAAGTTTTCTATCTATTAATATAATCAACTCCAGGCTGAGTATAATATTCCTAGCCCATTTTAATATGGCTTACCATTTACTTGAAAGTGTTATTGGTAGTCATTAACATGACATTACAATCGATTTTAATATTGATATTCTTTATTTCTTAATTTAATTTATTTTGGTTAAAAAAAGACTGAATGGGCATTGTTGTGAATCTGAGTGTCTTATTTGTTGGAGGATGATGACTAGTAGGAATAATAATGATGGCAAGTGTGGTTTATGGGTTAAAGGATTAGGACCTAGTAACTGTACTGTCTATTAGATAACATTTTCATGTAAATCAAGTATTCAGTGTAAATTGTTTGATTGATTGAGTATTAATTATGTAAGTGACCATCTACTATTACACTTGCCAGTCTAATCTATGATAAACACACATCTTTTTATTGTCATCTTGCATTCTTCCAAGTTTGAAATTAGCCAGACTTTTGCAAAACCACCACCACCACCACCACCGTCATCAGCACCACCACCACCGTCATCAGCACCACCATGTCCACTTTCCCCATGCTAACCTCTCCCCAATAGTGTCCTGGAAGTTTCACTCCTTGGAAGGTTAATTATAAAATATTTTAATCTGACTTAAAATTTGGTCAATATTGCAGTAGGACATCTAGGCACTGAGGACTAAGTGTTTCAACAACTCAAAGAAAGATTATATATATATATATATATATATATATATATACAAATAGAAAACTATACATACAAGCAACAGTGGAGTGTTAATATCAATGTGGTCTATTACTGTAAAGGCAAGTTTGGTACGACTGTTGAATCCCCACTGTTTATCCACTTCTGCTTTTAACCAGTAACGAATCCTGCCATATTTCCCTTCAAAAGATGTTGCAACCCTTCTGGATGAAAGAAACAAACTTATTTTTTGTCAATTAACAATAAAATTTGATTCAATAAAAGTATTCTTGTTGAAAAAGTAGCCTGGAAACTGTAAAGTACTGAAGCAAAATAGTACTCCAGTCCATGGTGTGAAGCTTAGTGTGACCCTGTGTGGGATATTATTATTATTATTATTATTGGAGTATGTGTTTTACAGATCATAATGCTTATAGTATGCTTAATTTACCTTTTATTTTAATTTTTGTTTTTTAAATTATATCTTCTCTAGCCTGGGTGACCTAATCAGTACAAAAAGCACTGTTATCCTCAAGGGCCCAGCAACACGATAAAAAATCCCAAATAACAAATCAAAAAGTATGTAGACAATCAATAAAAACTATAAAAATTCGAAGTTTTAAATGTAAGAATGATATATTCATAATAAAAATACCAATAATAATAATTGTAATAAAAATAATTGTATAATAATAATAATAGTAATAATAATAATAATAATAATAACAATAATAATAATAATAATAATAATAATAATAATAATAATAAGCCTATCTTATTAAATTTTGCAGGTTTTTTTTTCAAAACATATATGCAAAGACAGTATGTTTATAGCATAGTTTAAATACTTACCCATATGGTAACTGAAAACTGAAGATAAACTCATGCCTACCAACTCCTAATACAGGGTTACTACCAGACTCATTCTCATCTAAAATAAGTAAATAAAAATGAAATGTGTTACTGTAAATAAACTAAAACAAAATAGTATCATGATGGAGTACATGTAATACATCCACCACTACCACATTGAAACAACAAAGAACAATTACAATTGGCTATAAAATAAATGCTCGCCTCTCATGCTATAAGGATGCTAATTATATAGTAAATAATACTCAGGGATTGCAGCCCAAAATCCTTAGCAATCTGCTAGCATACATATTTTGCCCATTCAGTCAATCTACATGAGGAGTATTGTGTAAAATAATATGGTGGTTAATGGGAATGTTCAGTCCTTTAGCAGTATAAATTGATTCTTGCATGCTTATATTTTGTGTTTCATATGAACTTGCTTCAGTATCTTTGTATTAATTGTATTTTTGACAATACAGTACTGAATACCATCATACTATATTTGATAATGTGTATATATTATACAATAACTTCCTGAAAACAAATTAGAAAATGATCATTTCACTGACATTAAATACAGGTCTCCCTCCAATGAAAGATCCCTCCAATGAGAGACCACCTCCAATTAAAGACTACTTTCTTGTGGTCCCGAATGAATGCCATGTTTTATCATTACAGTAGCTGTTCCCTCCAATTAAAGACTCCCTCTAATTAGAGACCAAATACCAAGGTTTTGGTGGACCCAACTGAAAATTTTCCTTCAAATTAAAGACCACTTCAAAATAAATACTACTGTAATTGTAATGCATTTTTTAAAAATAATAAATGTTTTTCTACATCAGTACATAATAATACCATGCATTTATGCTCTACTACCATGATATTTTGTGTATACTTGCTCCATTTTAAATGTACAGAAGTGCTCTATTCTGTTGATCATTAATCCTACTTCCATTACATTTCCGCAATCCCCTGCTAGAAGCTTTCTAGTTTTTATAATCTTTTAATTCATACAATCCACATATATCTTAATCATAGTCTTTAACCATACTAGTGATTCTCTATCTCCACTGCAGATAAAAGTACATGGCACTTCTATCCCATATCCTATGCCTCTATTTACTGGCTTCCTAGTTATTACAGCTCTATTTCCGTTTGAAAATCGCTTAGAAAGAAGCTGACATATTTATTTGTTTTGGAATGTGTCCTAGAACTACTTCTGCTTCTTTGAATTTACATCTTGCCTATGCCTAGCTTGTTTACAAAACTCCTCACAACTTTAACTGCACTAGCATCTTCAATTGCCTATGCCTACTGTAGCTTGTTTACAAAACTCCTCACAACTGTAACTGCACTAGCATCTTCAATGCTGCCTGGGTCCCTCTTCTTAGTAACAATTCCTCACTTTCTACAGGAATCCATGAAGTCATATCCTTGTACACATGGTATCCTCTCACAAAAGTTTCAATAATTAATAAGCTATACATGTGCGTTGATTCTTAACCTTATTTAAAGGCATATAGAATTTTATTATATTTTGTTATTCCAAAATTACACCAAAGCGAAAACATATTAGTTTAATCATTACTTTTTGATTAATGAATTTTTATTTCATTACTTTAACGAATGCTATTTGTTAAAAAAACAAAACAAAACAAAACAAAAACAAAAACAAAAGTCTTTAATGGAGTTGGTAACATAATTGTAGACCTAGAGATTAAAACTTACGAACATAGTACATCTAAAAAGAGCACGGAGACTGAAAATGAACACATAATCTGAAGAAGAGCAACGACGTGAATGGTATGTAAATTTCAAATCATACAGTGTTGGAAGTGGAAAAAGAATTAAAAAAAAAAATACTGAGAAATTGAGAAGATACCTAATAAAAAAAAACTGAAAAATTTTGAAGATATCTAATAAGCGTATAATACTGCATTAATTGGCAGGTAAAAAGTTTCCAGGCCCATATATCCAGTAGTTGGATCACCAAACCAAATTTGATAAGCTTCACATTTCCAAGACAGTCGAGAATGTACTGAATATATATTTGTGATTTTCTGTGATTTAAAAATAAAATCTTAAATTTTTACATTTTAACCAGTAGGCCTAGATTACTCAGTCGTGATTCAGAAAAACGCAATTTATTCAATTTTGAAATTTTGGCTTAGGGGCACCCTGTGAATGTAATCTATCATGGAACGTGATCATATACTCCAAACAATTTTTCGAAATATGAAATTATTATGAGAGTTATGCTGTACTATCTATTAAACATTTGAAGAATCGACTTCCTTATGTTGTGGTCATATTAGACTGTAATATTTTTAAACAAGACCATTCAATAAGCAACATAAAACAAAATTCCTACATCAGTGCATGCATAAAACGTATAATTTCCTAAAATTTGGATATAGAGCGGACTTCCTTATGATTTAGGTCTTAGGAAATATAAATGTATATGGGTCTGAACTTTATAGGGGACAAAATGTTCTTCCTTATGTTGTGGTCATATTAGAATTTAATATCATTAAAGACCATTCAACAAACAACATATATCAAACATATATCAAACTTTTAGGTTAAACTTCCGAGCATGCATATAACGTAATTTTTTTGATATATGATATTTTCATGACAGTTGAGAATGTACTGACTATATAACTTGTAGATAATTACTGTTGTCCGATTGTGCATTGAAAATGTGACGACGAACTTGGGATACGGCCTCGGTTGACACTCATATCAAAGGGCCTGTTAATTAAACTTTGCACAGGAGCCGTCTTCACCTGCTATGATGCCTCCTTCTCCTCCTCCTTATCATCATCACATCATCATCATCATCATAATCATCACCATCTTCATTATTACTTGTTCATGCTAAAATGGGGGAAAATCTATTAATTCAGTGTGTATTCATTCATCAATAAAAGTCTCGTAATGCATGCAAGTGCATTTCTTAGCATATAGAAAAACACAAAATTTTCCGAAGCTTGGAGAACCCCAAGACTACCGCAAACCACCCCCCACCCCACGTCTAAAACAGTCTTACAGCGACGGAACGTTCTCTTCCCATGACCCCGATTATGTGCGATAGTCAGGGTAAAACTTGGTTTCCATATAATCGCTCACCCTATCCCCAGATATCCACAGATATCAGGAAAGTTGAACCTGGTTCAACTTTTCCTATTGCGGTGCAGAAGCAGACGAAGCAGGGTGCTTTGCTAGTACCCTTATTTTGCTTTGTTTTACCTTACTGTAATCCTTGGCAGGCCTGGCTGTATGCCTAGCCGATACGCAGTGCGGGCCGCAGTGTGGCAAAGGAAAGTTTTGTTTTTCTGTGCATGTGCAGATTGTGCCAATCTGGCTCATTAGCATAACAATACCACACATAAGGCTAATTCAAGTTAGACAGCTTAAACCAGCAAGCTTCCTATCCTGGTAACAGTTGTAAGTCCTTGGTTTAGGAGACATTTTTTTATTAATCTAAAGTTAATGAACCCTTAAAACAGTTGTTCATTTGACTTTAATTTGAATAATTTATGTTTGAGAAATTTTTAAAATGTTTTATTAAGAATTCAACAGCAGCTTACAGTAACTGTATTCACTCTAAAACAGTTGGAATAATACAATTAATCCTATATTTAATGTGTTGATCTCAAAAGTATGTGGACCAAGTATAAAAGATCTTTTTTATTTTATTTTGTGACTTATTTACTAGTTTAATCATGTAGTCTATAATAGACTGTTGATAAAGCACCACCTTGTATTTAAGCATAGGCCTTTGACCAATTTAAGTTGATTTATTTATAACACTAACTGGTGATAATGTTTGTATGGTTTGTGGTAAAATTATCCTATCCAAAACCTTTTTAAAAAATAAAAATACTTTGAATAAGAGAAAAACTTCAGACTTGATAAAAAACAAAACAAATGGATAGCGTATCAAATAAGTGGTAAAACAGAGAGTTACAGGGATATTATTTATGTACAAATTAATACCATTAGGCCGACCAGCCCTCCTTAAATTAATGTTAGAATACCGCACTTTCGGCGGTAAAGAACAATTAAAACCTCATAAAAAAGGCAACTAATCCGTTTACCTATAATTGAATCCAAGGACACCAGTGTTAAACACTCAGTACTTACCCTTGATAATGTGTTAATCCAATTAACATAGTGAGATAACGTAACGTTAGTTTAAGGAGGGCTGGTCAGCCTAATGCAAATTCAAATACAAGATTTCGCTAAATGTATTAACAACTTTTAATAACAATCTGAAAGCATGCATTGTAATACTCTTTGTAAATTCCTGATATTTTAAAAGGGTACTTGTAATATCTCAAACTTTTTACCAGCCTCACTAAAGAAAATACCATTACCTTTGCCAAATAAGACCTTTTTCTGGGAGAAATATTCTTCTTCAGCATCATAAAATTTGGTGTAGGATCCTGTCTGATGGCCACCACCACGAGATTCACTCCAGTGTACCTGACGAGATAAGCAAATAATAGTTTGGGTTTTTTTCCATTACACTAATACACATTAGCCACAAGGATGTACAGGATTATATTGCTAAACATTCCCATCCCTCAATATTCAAAAGTAGAGCATTAAGTTTAGAAGCAAGATGCATCTGCTGTATTTAGGGAGTGCAGGTGTGAAACATCACATACAAAGTTTAATACTACTATGTATGACAATGTACCACTCTGTCTATATGAGACACAACTCTAGTCAAATAATCATATAATTGTTGGTGTATAGCATGTTCAATGAACTTAGTTACTAGAGGTAGGATGGATATAGGTCTGTAATTGTTTGAATCGGCTTTGTCACCCTCTTTTTAAATAGGAGTGACCCTTGCTTGTTTCCATTTAAGTAGAAAAGTTGAAGTAAATAGTGACAGATTAAATTTGCCATTAAATTGCTCTTGAGAGACAGTTTAAATCATTTAAGTGGAAGTTACTTACTTACTAAGAATATAATCTGACACATCAATAAAGGTAGTTTTTGTTGAATGGTTTTTCCTAAAGACAGATTGGGATTCATTCAAAATATTAACTCTAGTTAAATAATCATATAATTGTTGGTGTACAGCACATTCAATGATCTTTGTTACTAGAGGTAGGATGGATATAGGTCTGTAATTGTTTGAATCGGCTTTTTCACCCTCTTTGTAAATAGGAATGACCCTTGCTTGTTTCCATTCAACAAGTGGAAAAGTTGAAGTAAATAATGACAGATTAAATTTGCCATTAAATGGTTCTTAAGAGACAGTTTAAATCATTTAAGTGAAAGTTACTTACTTACTATACATAAAATATCTCTTTCGAGATCCAGGCTGCCATACGTAATGTACAGCAGAGGGCGTATAGTATCTAGTCAGATCTTGGATTGCTCTATAGGCATGCGCAGACTAGTATTGTTTGAATTGCTATGGGGACTCTCAGTTGCTACTGGATAGAATAAACCAATGAAAGCCTTCATGGTCTAGTTGGGAAGACGTTCACCGTGTAAGCGAAAGGTCCCAGGTTCGATTCCCAGTGAAGGCTGAGATTCTTTTGTCATTCTCAAAAAAATCCAATTCTTCTACTGTTACATTTATATTTAATAATTATCAATTGCATTACGAGGCTTGTTGTTTCTAGGTTTATACTATATGCCTATAAAATCATATATATCTTGCAGATTGTGCCAATCTGGCTCATTAGCATAACAATACCACACATAAGGCTAATTCAAGTTAGACAGCTTAAACCAGCAAGCTTCCTATCCTGGTAACAGTTGTAAGTGATAATAATAATGATAACTATTATAATATTAATGATATGATAATGATGATAGTTATTATTTTTGTTATGATTGTTATAATGAAGATAATGGTAATTGTAGTTATAATGTTACATAATGGTGATAATAATAATAATAATAATAATAATAATTATAATTACAAATAATAAATAATAAAATAATAATGGAAATTTTGCTGTAATGATGGTAATAATAACAAAAGGTTTTGTAGAATAATTATAATTGTTATTACTGTACTTAAATGGTGATTGTGATTACCTTGTTTTTTGCTTTTAATGACTGTTCTTGCATTTATTCTGTTTTTTTTAATTTATTTATTCTTTATTTATTTTTTTTTTTGCTTGCTTTTTGCTTGATGTTGTGATGTGTTGTCTATTATATTTTATCTTACATTTTAATGATGTTTTTTTTTAATACTGGATGGGAGTGGTTCTCAAACAATTGTTATAGTAAATTAAGTTTACTTTAGAGACCAGGCCCTCCCATCAAGATTATTCTATTGTGCAATAAAAAGAATAAGAATAAGTGTTATATTATTATAAATTGAATATTCCCTATTAATCATTTTTTCCCAATTGCTATTATGGAAAATTATTATTATTATTATTATTATTATTATTATTATTATTATTTAAATATTTGTAGGGCCAAGGCTAGGCCTATCCTGGCTTAGGGCCTAGCTAGCCTAGGCCCTATTAGCACTAGGCCCTAGTATTAGTAGGGGCTTATTATGCCTAGGTAGCTTAGGCCTAGGCCCTCCCGGACCGCCCGGCCTACTACTTACTCCTAGCCATATTATTTATTAAAGCATTACATTTTATGCTAGGCTAGGCCTATAGTAACTCGTGGCAGTAATGGTCCTACACGGACTTGTAGTAAAGAAGATGAATAACTACCATGCCGGCCTAGGCCTAGCTTAGGCCAGTTATTAACGTTCCTGCACTAACTATTTACCTTAGCTAGGCCGCGCATACAAATACGGATTCCCCGCATTTTGAGGTCACCCCTCAAATCCACCACAACATGGCCTGACACAAACTCGCCAGCCGAGTATACGGATTTATTGTGATCAAGTGAAATGTGGAAGTCTCTAATCTTCATCCTCACAGATCCTTAAAACGTATTTCACGTAAAACACAAATTCATCATGCATCTCTCCAAAAATGAGGCACGCAAGGAACCGTCAAATACATTCTTCTAATGTTGACAACCTCAAACATACAATTTACACTTAAATGTACCATAGAGGTATTATAGTGTACTGCGTACTCTCTCAGCAGCGCAGCTAGCGATGACGTGACCTCCGGAAATAAAGATACAAAATAAAATTGTTCTCTCCAAGCATAACAACGATGCATTTCGGGATACCGTGATGAGAGACATTAGATGGAAACAATATAAATTAGCAAATAAGCATATAAGTCAAATTGAATTAAAAAAACATATAAAAACGTTATTGACATAAGCAGATTGAAAATGCAGAGAGTAGGATAAAATCATAAAAGGACGTTGGATGCCAATATGAAATTTAAAATATTTTTAATTCTTACAAATTTGGGCAATTCCATACTTGAATTATAAAATTGACGATATTTATAAATGGTAAAATCCATTGGAACACGAAAGTTCGATAAATAATTTTAAAATGCAGGTATTCAGTTAAGATAGAAGCCTAATGGAAACTAACAGATGAAGATTTACATGGGCGGGGGTGCGAAAATTGTAAATGCGAAACTACAAGGATCAGAGTGGCGTGTAAGAAGGGGCAGAAGGCCCGGAGCCAGGCGCTGGGGACCAGGGGCCGCGATGAGCCGGGTGTAAGGCGATCCCCCAGCCGCCGTGTTTGTAGCGTTTTGTGATGTATTTTAATGTCTTTTTTGGCACAATTGAGTGATTCGACAAAATAAGCGTACCAGGCCTATATATAGTAATTAAGATAGCCTAATTAATACTTTGTTCGTCTGTAACTTAATTTCTTGATACCCATTTGTTTCATTTTTATTATAATTGAGTATTCGGTATGATAACACGTCAGGAAATACGGTATATAAAAAAAACTAATTTTAACCTTGTTCCTATGCAAAAGCATAAGAGGTAGTCAACTTTGAAAGAAAAATGATCACTTAATTTTGCATTAATTGTAAGAATATATAGATGATTATAAAACTTAAAACATCTAGTTTTATAATCCAATCGCCCCAGATTGCCAAATGAAACCATTCAAATTATATAGTCGATTTTGTGAGAAAATGGGGTCCCGTTTCAGTGAGCAGATATGTCTCAAGTTTTCATTATGTCCTAATAGCACTTGCAGTAGGCCTACCCGCTGCTACTTGGGATCGGATTCATCACTATAGCCACCAAGCATAAGCTCGGTGGTCTAGTGGTTAAGACATAGGTTACCCGGAGGTCGTGGGTTCGATCCCATCCGAAATTTTTCGCTAGTATTTGAGGACGTACTGAGCATATGATAACACGTCAGGTAGGGTAAAAGATCACTCCTATATGAAACAAGTTACTAAATAAAGTTTATACATAATTATGAAACTAATTTAAAAATGATAACGTCGGCGTCATTTGATGTAGCCTATTTTAAAAAGCATGATAACATAGGCCTAATAATATTATTAGGCCTATTAATAATAATAATAATAATAATAATATTATAATATAATAATATTAAAATATTTTGGGAAGCAAACTCCAATCCTTGATTAAATTGTAAAAGAAGGTAGGCCTTAGACGGGATCAGAACCATTACAAAAACGAAGGAGTTCAAGATAATAAACAGGGACAGAGCCAGAGATGTCCAAAAAAAAAGTGTGGGGTGGGGGCGGAAGAGGGGCTGAAAGTGGAGCCGATCGAGATAATGGCAATACCCTAGGGGGTCCGGGGGAATTCCCTCGAGAAATTTCTGTGTTCTAGACGCCCGAAAATAACGTCTGAAAACTTTTGGGCGATCATTTTTTTCTTTTTCTTTCTTTATCTTTTTTTCACATTCCTAATCACAACAATTCCAACACAACGTTAAATATACGGGACCCTCTATTTGGAAAAAATTACCAATCTCAATTACCAATGCTGTTTTTGTCAGAGGTTTTTCTAATAAACTGAAAAAACACATAATCTCAAATTATTAATTTTTTCTGTGGTTTAAATTCGTCATGCTGTTATGTATTGAGCTGCTTTTTCTCCCTTATTTTTTCTTCAGGCCAGCCCAACAAAAGATTTTTTTTTGCAAACATCTTCTCGGGTCCTGGCCTTCTACCAATTTTTGTACTACTTTGTATTTGCAATTTTGTATTTTCTTGTTGTGCATCTGGAAGAAAATAAATGTTTTGTTGAATTGAATTGAATTCTTTCCAAAAGGGTAATAGGGTTGAAGTTAAATCAATTGATTTGACCGACTCTATAATCGAATTATAAGCATGTGAAACCCCTATTGTTAATTTTCGGGGCTTCGCTCCCTGGACCACTTTTGAAGCCTTTTAAAAGACGCTCGACCACGCCCACTTTGCTCTCGTCGGGGGATTTCCTCCCTCGGGGACCTCTTTTCCCCCTCCCTCCCCCAGGTATATTGAAAATTTAAGTCCCAGGTGTCAGCCACCTCAATTTATAATACTGGTTTTTTTTAAATAAAAATTGGCAGTGATATTTCTAATTAAAGTTGATATGCGACGAGTTGAGCTGCTTCCACTTTGACTAGATGCATGAAAATTAAAATCCATAGCAACCCAGTCTTATAACTTAAAACCTCTAAATTGAAGCCATGGACTTACTTCTGGTTTTTGTTTGTTTTTGCCAACTGTGGACTTTTGCAAAGTAAAGATGGGAGGGGTTCTTTTCAAAATGAATGCTGTAAATTTTGTGTTTGTAGGCCTAAAACAATAAATAAGGCCACTATAACATCAATATGTATCATGGAGTGTATTAAACTGGCATTAAATCACCTAAACTACGGTACTATATAAACCAAGCTTGTATTTAATTTATTTTGTATTATGAAATGATACTGTAGGCCTACTTTGAAAAGAGGCGTATGTTGATTTCGAGGCTAATTTTAGAAACTAAAGAGGTGGGGGGGGGGATGGGCCTCAATTCGAGGTTATACGGTTCTCCATTCTGTTCTCCATCTACCGTAGAGTCGAGTTCAATAATAAAAAAAATGCGTAGAGTCGAGTTCAATAATAAAAAAAAAGCGTCCTCTATAATAGCTATCAATCATGGCGGACTGGGGTGAGTACATGTGTAGCACTGCGTATTAGTGCCAGTCAAAACATATGTTGACATTTAGTATAAAATTGTTTGAATTACTTTAATTAAGTTATCATTATCATTGATATTTTCGCTTGGTACAGATGATGATGATTTTGACGTTGATGCCGGTTTCGCTGGTGATGGACCCGGTGATAAGTGGGAAGGAGAGGATGAGGAAGAAGTGAAGGTAGGCTATCTTATCTACAGCACAGCAGCAGCGCGTAGCTAGGTAGAGTAGCCTAGCTAGGCCTAGTTAGGCTACGACCTACGTACGTAAGCCTAGAGCCCTATCCGTATTTTGCTGACCTTAGTAAAGTCGAGGTTCTGAATTGAAACTCGTAAGGTGCCTCATCTCTCGTGCATGTTTTTTTTTTGTATGTTTGTCAAGGTTAATTATGCCATGGCTGTGCTTACGCCAATGTGATCGAAATCCCAACAACATGCTGATTGGTCAAATTAGCTTTACCCTAACCTTAAAAAATAACTCTCGCTATCTTAATGCATAACATCTTGGCGTAAGCACAGCCACTTTGTATATTTTAATGTGTTTACAATAGGCCTTTTCCACGAAGCGGTAGACATCTTGAAGTGATGACAAACATTGCGAATCAGCAGTGCGTAACAACAGAAATAAGATAAGCTTTAAATTTTGGGCTGATTTTCTGACATCATGATCATGTTATTAAAAAAATCATAACTCCATAACGGGGCATCGTATCTAAAATATTTTCCAGCAAAATATTCTTAAAAGACTAGTCTACACCACTATATGATTGAAAAAAAATGTTTTTGACCTCTAAAATGAAGATGGAAAAAGAAAAGCTTATCTAAGCAGTGTATTAAAATAGGCCTATGCATTACAGTGCAGTAGCATAGTACTTTCGTGTTGGTACTGTTCCAGGTACCAATAATAAATATACAGATTTCTCTTATTATAAAGTACAAGTTATGTTTGCATTGTAATGCCCCGTTATGGATTTTTAAAATAACATGATGTCAGAAAATCAGCCCAAAAGCTTGTCTTATTTCTGTTGGTTATGCACTGCTGATTCGCAATGCTTGTCATTACTTCAAGATGTCTACCGATTCGTGGAAAAGGCCTTCATTACCGTTTTGGTTTATTGCCGTTTTAATTTATTTGTTGCCCAAGTTCTTTTATTCCATGATGTCAAGTCCCAACTGATGCATCTTTTAGAGTATTTTTATTTTTAAAATTTTATTTCATCAACGTCCAACAGTGACCGAGGTCACCCTTTATACAGGATTGAAAATTTTTTTATTTTTTATGTGAATATATAAGTTTGAACGTACTAAATGTATACAGAAAATATCAGTAGAAAACTCAGTTTTACATAAAGAATTATATAACTTTAGGCAGACAATTGATAAACCCATTATTAGTAACATTGACTCTCCCCCCTTGAATTAAAAAAAAAGCAGGAACAAAAAAAGAGAAAGAAAAAGAACAGAAAGAGGAAATTAAACTTCAAAATTTCCATTGTAGATAGCATTCATACATTTAAATGAATGTTACTTTCGCCATTCATGTAATGATTTTTGCAACAGTATTTCCTCCCAAGGCACCTTATATACTTAATATTTATAGTAATTATGTTAATTATATGTTAATTATATGTTAATTATACAGGATAACTGGGAAGATGAAGAGGATGAAAAAAAATTGCCAGCAGCAACATCTGAATCAGGTTCTCAGCTTTTCATTAATTTTTTTAATCAGTATAATTGTCTTATAACTTTTATTCTGTAGGACTCTCAAACCATTTCAATTTTGTAATCAACAATATTTTGTTTTACTTCAAATTTAAACAAATGTTTTACACCTTTTCAATCTGTAACGGCATTGCTTGTATTTTAATCTTTATTGTAATAATAATAATAATAATAATAGTTGGATTTGTAGAGCGCATCATGCGAAAAAGCCTCTATGCGCTTGGTGATTGAGCTCTTTGATTTGGACATTTTGAGAAAAAAGAAAGTTGAAGTTATTTTATGAAACTAAAAAAACCTACTCCTTAAACTAAGGCATGATTGGCCATTGGCTCCCAGGAGTTCATCCGCCCTTTGTTCAGCTGTTTTTTTCGTGCTGCTGGGTGTCGATCCACCCTCCCATTGGCGGCCGCTAAAGACCACCAGATGGGGTTGTCGGAATTAGTCGCCGACGACTCGACTGGATACAGTTTATAACGTCGTGCCCAGGACACTATAATCCTAATCTACACTTACATACACTAAAATAATTGTAATGGTTTTATATGTTTAGTTTAGTAGTGATTGATTTTTGTGGCTACTGAAAGTAGCTACTATGCCATCGAATGGTTTGCCGAGGTAAGTGACTGTGAATCTCGGTACCAGTCGTCACCTTTGATCACGAGCCGAGTACCAATTAACGCTCATTATAATTACTTGCGAATATTTCCAAGAAAATACGAAAGTTTACGAATGCAGAATGTTACGACGTTACGAAAATTACTGGACACTCAGCGGATCCTTTTTAGTTTTATGTTATGTTAGGTACCTGCCTCCACGTTTTTTTGTTTTTTTTTATGTGCGATGACAAACTAAAGTAAGTTCTTTGTAGATAGACCATGTTTGATTTCACTAAATTTGACAATTTTAGGCCTAGGTAAGCTACTGATTTCCATGTGTTACTATTAGATAGTATTATTACTAAATGAAAATTTGTTTTGACGTTTCATTTCGAGTCTTTTTCTGTGAGTTTCCGTTTTATAGCTAGCTAGGCCTAGTATGCTGATTTATCATTGGCCCGCCTGTGGAGCGACAATTTTTGTCGTACGTCGTCGACTCAGGCCCTTGCTAGAAATATAATGCCTAAGCCTAGTTTACCATACATAACGAACTAGTAGCAGTCTGGCTTAATTGTAAACTAATAGTAATACTTTAGGCCAAGATGTGATTTATATCTCAGAATCTCAGAATATTCAGCACTTCAAGGATGGCATTCCACGGAGAGGAGAGCCTAGTCATGAGATAGGACTAGGCCTAGCCTACTTACTTAGGTTAGGTAGCTAGTGCTAGTTTTACGAGGGAGTTATTGGTTCTACTACGGTCATTTCAGCAGCCATGTTTATACATGTAAGTTTAAAAAAAAACATGTTGTAGCTAGGTAAGTAGTAGGACTATTGCTAATGAAACTATAGGGCCGCCTAGGCTACCGTATGTATCTAGGCATAGTTAGGCTTAAAATTAATAATAAATATAAATAAAATATAGACAAATGTAAATACTTATACATACATACATATAAAGAAATAACAAATATATTACAACAATATAAATATATTAAAAACAATATATTACAGTAACATAACATATTTAAAGCATTAGAATATATATATATATATATATAAATATATATATAATATATATATATATACATACATATATGTATATATACATAATACATACATATATGCATATATATACATATATGTATATATGTACATATGTGTATATATATATATACAAGTGTATATATGTACATATATGTATATATATACATATATATACACATATATATAATATATAATATATATATTATAGTAACATAACATATTTAAAACATTAGAATATATATAATTTTCATTATAAAAGAGGCAGAAAAATTGTAAACCAATACTAATGCAAGGGTGCCCTTAAGGTATGTAAATCTCCATTAAAAAATCTATAGTAACTTTCATATTTCATTAATTTTTTACCATAAATAATTAATTTTGCATTTTATAGTTTATCATTTTAGGTTAATGAACTAAAAAATATGGCAAAAAAAAAAAAAGAAGAAGAAGGCATGGGAAGCCTACATTCACATTGTATCTCCAGTTAAACAAACAAGCACAAATCAGTACTTCAAAATGTATTTCCAAACCACTGCATACAATTTTCAAGAAACTGTTTTTTCTGCTTCATATCACACTGAATTCCAGAATTATTGAAATCCAAAGTCCAGTGAAGATGAGGGATTTTGGGACCAATATTCTTATAAACTCAAACATTAAAATAAAGCAGTTGGAAGAGATACCATTCCAAATTTAGGAATTTATTAACCCAAAACATTCTTTGCATTCGAGTGTAAGCAACACTCAACTCGTAACCATAAAAGCTAAGGTTATACAGCTTTCAGGAACCAAAAATTTCAACACAAGAAATGGGCTAAAAATATTACAGAATGTATGCTGATTGATCCATCGTGTTAAGTACAGACAAGTATTTGGGGAAAATTTATTTACAAAATTAAACATCAAGACTGCAGGCAAAAATGTTTGAAATGTTCAATAAGGTGTCAATTTGCAAGTGATAAAAAGTTTTTTTCTGTAATATACCGACTTATAATTAAGATAAAAGCCTTTATTGATATCTTGTTACAAAATCCTGGATTCAGATTATATACTTTTTAATTACCCTAAATGCTCAAAAATGCGCCACATCGTGGCTCTTAAGGGTATATCATTACCTTTTGTGTAACTAAAGAATTTGGGTTTTAAATACAATATATACAGTGTTAAGATGAAAGTATTTCTTTTGTTTGTTTTTTTTTGTATTAAAGTGTCAATTTACTATGCCCAATGATAGGCCTACTGGAATATGAGATATGTAACATGGGAACGGGCATGGAAAGCGCCACACCAGTATTTCTTTTTATGGCCTCAGTAGCCACATGTACCTTTTAGGTACCTATTTTTAAGTATACTTTAATTACATATTTTATTGTATTGTCTTATAATGCTTTCATCTAGAGATTGTGATTTTCATTGAATATGTTTTTAAGTCTGTGAATTGTATTGTTTTATTGTGCTATTGCGCTGCAATCTGTAACACCAGAGATTATGAGAATTACTATACATATTGTGCTTCACAGGTGGTGTAAAGGCATTTCAGGTACAGAAGAAGAAACCACTATCAGAAAGAATACAAGAGAAGGAAGAAGAAAAGAGAAAAATTGCTTTAGAAAAACAGAAACAAAAAGAAGCGGTAATGAAATGTTAGAGGGTATTGTAAAGAGTAAATAAAGAGTAAGGGTATTATTTAGTGGTGACACTAGATACAGAGGACAGGCTCATTCCCCACACTAGGAAGCAAGCTGAAATTGTTATTTAACAGACTTTATTAATGGTTGTCTTTCTGTATCATATTTGAAGTCAAGAATCCATCTTTTAGCACTAATCTCAAATAAATTAATTTTGAATGCCGATGAAGCATATAGTGGAAAAAATAAACTGCAGCTGTATTTTTTTATGTGTTCTCTATCCAGCAACAAAGGAAGTTTCTCCATACACAATTAACAGTATATCTTTTTAATTTGCAGGAAGAGAAAAAATTAACACCGTCTGAGATTCAGGCTGAAAAAGCAAGGCAGCAGCAAATACAAGAGGAGGCAGACCTTATGTTAGCAAAAGAAATGTTTGGTAATTGCCTTGACATTAAATTTCTGTTCTGGCTTGTTATCTGGAGGTCAACTTACAGACAGCTTATTTGTCTGTCTTTTACCCAGTGTGTAAATCGGTACCTTGTAGGTTGAGAATTTTCCCTTTCAGTGTGGTATATGCTGAATATTCAGGCATGGCTAGGAATATTCCCAAAGGAGCAGTGGAGTTTACACATTTACCAGAGTAATAATGGAAATTGGAGGGTGAATTGGAATTTAATTAAACAATACACTTTTTTTTGCAGGATTGTCAACAACTACAGGTCCTTCTATAGACAAAATGCAGCCTAACAATAAGGAAGAATTTGCTGAATTTGCAAAATTATTAAAAGAAAAGATTTTACAATTTGAAAAATCACCGCACTATTGTGAACTACTTGAAGATGTTTTTCCAGGAGTAAGCGCTGGTTGTAAGTATTATGTTGACTGGTTTCTGTCTCCGATATATTTGTTTCCCTTAATGAAAATGAGGTGCAAGTACACTACTATTTGCGACATATATACTGGGTTAGATTCAAGAGTTTTATTGCTTAAAATTGATGGAAAAACTATTCATCAATGGTGTGTCCAGCACTAATTGTCAAACATTTGAACAAAGTGTTTACCATTTAAAAACACATGTGTACAAACATTGGACACCCCCAACAAAGTATTGATATAATTATAACCTGGTGTGGGAGAATTCAAGGCTTGTAAACTTCCCCTTCTCCAGTTTTGCATCTTAATATAATTGAGCAATTGAAATATGAGTAGAACTAAAACTGAAATAATTTTTCTTATGCTATTTATATTTATCTATCTTCTGAATTTGAGAGTCTGTACAGTTGTTGCTTGCCCCTTTGGGGATTATGCAATGAGAAGAAGAAGAC